TAACTGGATCGAAAGATCATAATGCCAAAGTAAGTAAATTTTCTAATGCATCAATATCTACTTTTTCCCAATAAACATGAGGAAATGTTTTGCTTAGCGTCGATAGTATTTAATCTCAGTGAATCCCCCATCTTAGCTGTTACCTCGACATAGTGATCAAGCTCGCATATCGTAATGACTTAATCGACCTATATTAACTGGGGCATTCGTTCTTTTAGATCCTACCATGCCAGGAAGGTTGGTTGTAGAGCGGTTGAATTAAAGGTAACTAATACATGGTCCGAGAGTGAAGTCGTACTGCCGGCTGAGCTAAAAATGTGATAGCAGTGAAGTGTTTCACTCAGACAACCAACATCTGCAGCGGTGCTGCCTTCCCACAAAGAAGAGTAGGGGCTAGTAAAGGTCTACCCTAACAACACACCTCACTCCACGAATTGGTCATTTCTGAGAAGTACAAAACTAATGTATGACAAACTACTAGACTAAAAGACCGTAAGTAACCGGTCTCAAGTAGTTGTCGCTTAAGCACTAGTCATTAAAACCATCTTCAATCTAGTTTCTTTCCTAGTTACCTCAAGATGAAGTATCCTTCCACAGTGTCGGTGACCACCCTCAAACGTCTAACACCACTGGAAATCACTTTGCTTACAGCTAAGCTCCATCTTTATTGCCTAGTATTTCTCTCATTTATTATATCAACCCCCATCTTTTTTTACTTGTATATCTACTATAAGTGTTAACGATTTGAGCTCAATGAGTTTCTTAAAGCGGCGATTCAAACTACGTGTCAGTTTTAAATGTCCAAACCCTATGTTAAATCTGGCAATAGGTGTTTCTAACTAAGACCCTATAATCTCATCCCATCGATATGTTCATACAGGATTCTAGCGTGGATATTTCCTTGACGTCACCTAGCCAGAATGAACAACCAATGTTATATATTCTTCGTGTATCTAAATGTGATAGCAACTTCTCGTGATCTTGTTTGTATAGGTGTGACATTCATTTTAAAAGAAAGATAGGCGCTTTCTAACCGGATTCCTTTCTGTTGTCGTTTATGTGATTTCCGTACAGTAAGACATTAGAAGGATAGGGACCTATGCGTCTACCAGACTTCTATCTGAAGTTTGTGCTGATGATGTCGTTCAGGAGAACGATGAAAGCTCCACGACCAAACCATCCAGCTCAGAGAACAAAACTTCATCAAATCATTCACCTGAGCTACAAGTCTTCTCCGCCATCTCTTATCATGTTTCTCCTTTTGCTCCGATTGATGGAGGCTCAGGTGAAGTAAAGCTGAGTTTTACAAAAGAACTTTGACCTATACAAGCACATATTTTCCTTTAAAAATCTATAGTCATATTCATTTTGTGTTTGTATTCAGCTTTTCAGTGCTTATGATTTGGAATGCATCCGAACATATACTACCGAACGTCCGATAAATTCTGCTGCTATTTCACCTAATAGAGATCACGTGAGTTATTCTAATATTCAGAAACTACTATATATATGATTTAAGTTGTCTCGAAACTTTTTCATACTTTTACCTCAGTTTCGTCAATCATTAACTGTTAATTCCATTCAAAAACTGCACAAGGTCGTGTCTGGTTTATAGGTTATAATCGACAATTTCTTCGAATATCGAAGTAGTGAAATTTCTACAATCCTATCCACAAAGTTCTAATAAACCGATGTATGTTCACCTGATGGAAACATTCTTTTTTTCTTTGATTCATAACTATTTTTCTGTTGCTGGTAGCATTATCATGCAGCTATCAAATCTAAGTCATCAAAGCTAGTGTTCTAAAATGAACATCACCATTCGAATAACGGTCTCTATTATATTCAAACGCATATTGTCGGAATGCAGAAGTAATAACCTGGTGTTATCACACTAAGCATGACCATCAACTCTCGAGTGTTTAAAATAATAGATATAGAACAACTGCATATACAACTGAATAGTTTGTGCTCAGATTGACACTAGGATGACTCGAGTTGTCAAGATCGTCAATATACTAACTTGCATTGGTTCATCTTCTCTACCAAATCAACATTAACACACAAGCTTCTCCACTATTTCTGACGGCACGCCAAGCTAAATATTACAGACTTTCAATCGTGTAGACGTTCTTCACTCTACGACTGTTTGAAGTACATACTATGTCTAATAGAATAGAATTCTGTTTCAATAAAACGAAAACACTGTTCCTAGCTAAGCTGCAGTTAGCATTTATTTGCGCAGGTAGCAATCGACTGAAGTTTTCTTATGAGAACTTCGCCGATTTTTTCCTGACTAGAATTAATCTACCACGACAATCTAAAAATCACTGTTACTTAAATGCTGACGTTATTGGCCAAACTAAACATGTCATTGTTAAGGTCAACAAGAAACAGTCAACATCGAAGTGTACAGGACAAGCTATGAACTACAAGTGGAGAAATCCGAACACTTCACTCCTACCTGAAGTTTGTGCTGATGATCTCGTTCAGAAGAACGATGATAGCTCCATGACCAAACTATCCAGCTCAGAGAACAAAACCCCATCAAAATCATCCACCTGAGGTACAAGTCTTCTCCACCATCTATTGCACCAGTGTACAGTGAATTTCAGAGAGATGTATATCAGTATTAAAGCCTGATAGATGTCACGTAGCCCTTTTTATCTGTTGTGTTAAAATCATGTATATAGTATTCTATAATTTTATTTTTCTCATTAAAATTAGGTTTTATTAGGAGGTGGTCAAGAAGCTCATGAAGTAACAACAACAGCTGTTGGCCAAGGAAAATTCGATGTCAGATTCTATCATTTAATTTATGAAGAAGAATTTGGTCGTGTTAAAGGACATTTTGGTCCTGTTAATAGTGTAGCATTCACACCAGATGGCAGTGGGTGCGTTTATAGCATGTATATTTTAAATATCCTCTAAAGAATAACTGATTTTATTGTTAAAATGGATTTTTCGAACCCCTACAAAATCTAATACAACATAGTAACAGACTGGATTAATATAATATCCTCAGTCTGATTTGTTATTTGTCGCAGTAGTAGTTAATTCTAATGTATCATACAGAATCCAGGTTTTTGAACAAACCGACACCTCTTCCCATTGTCTTTATCCAAACCTGTTAGCTTAACCATAACTTGATGTATAGTATAGCTTTTATTTTTCTCATGTTCTGTGTTAGTTGTCACGATGTTTATTCGTTTTATTTATCTTTTTATTTTGTTTAAATTTGACAGATTCGCAACTGGTGGAGAAGAAGGCTATGTTCGACTGCACACATTCGATAGTGAATACAATGATTTGGATCAACGTCTTTTCTGAAATAAGAAAATTCCATACTGTTACCTTGGTGACTTGTACTAAACACTCGACAAAAAAATAAATGAAACTAAACTTTCCATTGACATTTTATTGTTTGTAAAATCTCTAGGATCTTCAAACTATAATTAGTCCGTTCTACTCCGATTTAACTGGGAAAATGTAAGAAAAACATTGTACGCATTATCCTCGAAGCAAAAACCATCACAAGGTAATAAAGACGTTATGTTACTGTGAATAAGAAGGGTCGTACCAAATTTCACATTGATGCATGTCGTTTGTAAAATCCATATCGCTCATCTCATCACGAAAAATTAGATCACTTTTTGTATTATTCAACACGATACTCGTGAGCTCCTTTAGTCAACATCATTGTAGGGTCATAGTTACCAATCCTAACGAACTTCTCATTATTACATCACACAAACTTTTGAGAGATCCGATGAAAAAGATGGTTAAATCAGTTCTATTTAGGTGGGTGACTTTGACTCTGACCTTTCAACAGTAGCTTTCGGAATAAAAACCAGGATATCTTGGTTCATTCTCACTTTTTGGATGAAGTGTACTTGGCAATCTAGTGATTCTATACATTATTAAATATGGCTTGGTACAATTAATCGTTTTTTACTCATGCATTGCATTCTTGATAATTAGTGAAAAATGCTCTTTAGATGACTTAAATGTTTTCCTTGGTTGCGAATGAGGTCCTCCAGATTGCTATTGGGTATGGGGGATGTTGTCACTTGATGGTTTCCCATACCGTAAAAGATAATTTTTATTGAAATACGTAGGACAGAAACTGGGTTTTGAGTGATCGTGACGACCTGAAAGGTATGACCAGTCACCAATGGGACGTTACTTGAAACCGGTTACGCGCAAGCATGTTCGATTAGTTGATTCAAAAGAGACGTATGTTTGAGACCTTACCGGCGGCGACGAACACCCGTGGAGTAAGGTGAGACGCGTTACATTTTAGGGTCGGCTTCTGCCTTCCGTTGTATGACAGAGATCCTGGTCGTTCAAGTGAAGCACCACTACTGTCATATCTCCATTGTAGTCCGCTTTTTTATTTTTGTCTTCCGACTGCGACCTTGTTGCTCTTACCACTCTAATAAATTGACCCAGCATGGTAGGACCGAAGAAAACGAGTAATTCAACCAATGTGTCTCGATTGAATCACTTCGATATGGGAGTTATAATCGGCCCCTCGCACACACACGATTTTCCTTGCAATAAGTGTTTGAGTCTGATTCACTGAACAATTTTCAGGAATAAATATAAATCTTTAACTTTAAAGAATCAGAAATATATAATAGGTCAATTTGTAAACGTATTAAACCGGAATAATTGTCAACCATACACGAAGTGGTTTTTCAAATCCAATACTCTTTATAAGTTAAACTCCACATTGTCACTCAACAAATTTCTTCTCACCTGTCTCATAGTAACCAAATCATAAAAAACATCCCTCAAGAGGATATACCATTGACATCACTATGCATATAAGTATATATATACACCGTGTGTTGATTAGCAGAATTTCAAACGTCTATAGCATGCTATTAGAAAACAATAAAGAAAAGACAGGAAAGCAAACATCAAGATTTGAAGAAAAAAATGACTGTTAACAGTTTAACAACAAAACCAAGATAACCCCTCTGTTGACAGTGTCGATATATATATATATATAATACAGTGATCTGATCTAAGTATTAATAGACTAACAAGCAATAGGATTGATAGGTATAATAAAGACAATAACTAATTACGTAACTAAAACATCAAAACACAGACAAAAGAGATTTTCTCTAAATAAATAAGAAATTATGTAATTGAAACCAATAAGCAAATGTACAAACAAGGCGCTCAAACTGAACAAATACACAACATGGATACAACGAAACAAAAAGAAATAAAGAAGATAATTTATAATTTTAAATTATCCAATGGTAAATTATAATTCATTTTAGATTCATCTGATGATAATTTAGTTGTTATAGTTGATGTAAATGAACGACTCATTGTTGAATTAGTTGTTCTATGAAGTAATTGATTATGATGATATGCATGTTCATTAGTTTTATTATCTAATGGTTCAGATATCTAGAAAATGTAATAGGAAAAACAAAAGAAATTTGAAAACACAAATTATATAGTTAATGTTGAAAGTTGAGTAAGTAACGCAGTTGTTATGAAACGAGTATTAGGTAAGGATGGCAAATCAATTGATGAAGTGGTGAAACTTTAGCAGTTGAGATGGCGGCTAGGACACGTGTTACGTATGCCCAACCACCGACTGCCTCAACGTGCGATGTTTTATGGTTTTGATATGGTGGAGAAGATCTGTAGCTCAGGTGGATGATTTTGGTGGAGTTTTGTTCTCTGAGCTGGATGGTTTGGTCGTGGAGCTTTCATCGTTCTTCTGAACGACATCATCAGCACAAACTTCAGATAGAAGTGAAGTGTTTGAATTTCTCCATATGTGTCTCAAAGCTTGTTCTGTGCACCTCGACGTTGATTGGTTCTTAGTGACCTTGAATTTGTCGTTGTTTACATCTTTGTTTTGGTTGTGTCTCCCATTGTTTTGATTTTTGTTCTTATGTTTGTGCATGATTTTTCTGATTGGTTGATAAATTGGATTGATTTCAATATGCTTGTTGATTGCTAATTGACCTGAGTGCCAGGCTTCTAAAAATTCTCTGGTGTTTTTGGTGTTTTCGTGCTGCCAGTGTGCTGCAGTGTGTACGAAGAAATGAAGAGAAATATCTAAAGGATGTATTTCAGAAGAGCGGCTACCCCATCAACGTCATCAAAAAATACCAACCGCACGCAGCATTAGAACTCAAGTCAAACACAAAAATCAACAAAAGGATCACCCTACCATATATACAAGGAATATCAGAAACAGCGACGAGACTGCTAAAAACCTTCGGAATAGGTGTGGCACACAAACCGACAAAATCACTACAATCAATCTTATGCAAACCAAAAGATGAAATAACAAAGGAAAACAAATCAAACATCATCTACAAAATAAATTGTGCCAACTGCGAAAAACACTACATCGGACAAAGCGGACGCCCCCTTCACCTTCGCCTACATGAACATCAGTTAGCAGTCAAACGGCATGATATCTCTTCACTTATATCAATACACGTGGATAACTGCGGACACTCATTCGATTGGAAAAATGTGGAAATCTTAGACAGAGGAAACTCCAAAAACACCAGAGAATTTTTAGAAGCCTGGCACTCAGGTCAATTAGCAATCAACAAGCATATTGAAATCAATCCAATTTATCAACCAATCAGAAAAATCATGCACAAACATAAGAACAAAAATCAAAACAATGGGAGACACAACCAAAACAAAGATGTAAACAACGACAAATTCAAGGTCACTAAGAACCAATCAACGTCGAGGTGCACAGAACAAGCTTTGAGACACATATGGAGAAATTCAAACACTTCACTTCTATCTGAAGTTTGTGCTGATGATGTCGTTCAGAAGAACGATGAAAGCTCCACGACCAAACCATCCAGCTCAGAGAACAAAACTCCACCAAAATGTTTTATGGTGTAGGAGTAGGTTGGAAGAAAGTTAGGTGCGGCCAGACCCAAACATGGCACAAGTCCATGAAGTCACTGACAAGTGAACTGAGTGAGCCATGTTGGTAGGTGTAGACTACCTGTTTGGGGACCGCGAGACGATAGCAACCGATGGTTAGAGACCCTGAATGACATGGCTCAAAATCGTTTGCAATGGCGCAAGTGCATCCACTCTTTTTGTTCTCCCAAGTTCTAATCTTCTGAATTCTTCGTATTCTTTTTTTTCGCTTTTCAAATTTATTTCACTGTATTGTACTCTTTAAATAACATCTTCAAACCCTAATGTTTTCGATTACTGCTTGTACTCTTACTACCTCTATTATGACGGAATTTGAGTCGACAACTCCATCTCTGTGCTAATGTGGTATGGCAACTCGAACTGATGTACGTACGTAAGAAGTTCTACGTTGTTACTGACTGACTGATATGCTTGGATGCTATGACAATTTCATCTTACTCGGTAAATAGAACGAAGGTCAAAGATACAGTGACACGATAGGTTATTGTAATCCGTTGTCTCTGGTCTTGCTAACTAGATCAAGAAGTCTTGATGAGACGTAGAGAATGTATTCTAAAAACACCCAGAAAATACGAGGTCACTAAGCACACAAATCAAGCTTATTTATACAATGATATAAACGCCCTTGGGGAGAGCTACAAAACAGTGTACTAAAAAAATCCGTTAACTAGTGACAGTTAAAGATTTCCGAGTGGGAAATGCAAGCTATAGGTCAACTAAGCGTCCCTTGGCGCGAAAACAGAAAAGGTGATCAAATCTTTTGAAATAATCATCTGATGAAGGTACTCTAATCTTAATAAAGTAAGGTTAGTTAGTCAGTCAGTAACAACGTAGAACTTTGTACGTACGTACATCAGTTCGGATTGCCATACTAAATTAGCACACAGATATAATTGTCGATTCAAATCCCATAGTGGGAGAGGTAGTAAGTTAGATTATCTTTGTTCATTAAGTTAAGATGAAATCAATTTCCTTATTCTAGTATAAAGTTCATGAAAATCAACTAGAGTACATACTCGTAAGTATCATCAATTGATTGACAGAAATTTGATCTTGGATACTGTTACATGGTATGAAGAGGATCGTCACTCTCCAGGTGCATACATCGCGCTAGGAAATTTCTTCTTGAGGAAGCTGGGTTAGTGGTGGTTTTAGTGACCCGAGGATGTGACTGCAGGACAACTGCTTATAGTAGGCTTTTTTATGAGAAAATCTAGGTGTTACCTTCGAAAGACCTCAGGAGAGGGAAATCAGTGGGATAGGGTGTGGTATCACATTTTTAAGGTAGACCTTTCCTAACCCGTCGCTTTGGTTGTTGAAAGGAAACATCGCTCCAGATACTGAAACATCTTATTAGTGTCATATCCATATTGCAGTCGGGTGTACAACTTCGCCCTTGGACCTAAAGTTGCTGTTTTTAGTTTTGATGTTCTCCAGTCAACCTGTCTAGCATACTAGGACATAAACGAACATGTGTTTCAGTCAATATAGCTCAGTTGAGTCATTACCAGACCACCATGTCAATGTTGCAGCTACGGTCGTGCAGTTGCTTGACAGGAATCAAAAGTTGCTATGATAGATTACCCTCTGACGTAATCAGAAACCTCACCATAATACTTAGATCAGCTCGTAGGTTACACATGATGAATGGTACTTAGGAAATAGTTTATGTTCATACCTAAACAGTATACAGTCGATGAATTAAAACAACTGAATATTTAAAGAAAAACTCCATACAAAATCTGGCAGTCATAAACCTGTAGTACAACTTACCAAGTCAGCTAACGTTTTAGGTCGTTGATTATACTTACGCCGATTAGATGTTGAATTAATCGATTGTTTTTTCATCAATGGTAGATTTTCACGATTATCAGATCCTTTATACGTCATTGAGTTGTAACTATTTGTCACAGTTGTTGTCTTATTTCCAGTGGTACCCCAAGGGGTTGTACTATCAGAGTCACTAAATGTTTTATTCATATCTAAAACAGAATTGTTCACAGTAGAATCACTAATGGACACTGGATGAGTGAGTTTCGATGGATGAATAGGGGGAATAAGTGTAGAATTACACATATTAGATGTTGTATTATGCAATTTCAAGAGTTCCTTCAAAATTTCCACAAAACTTGGTCTGTTACTTGGTTCACTTTGCCATGTACGTAACATTAAAGCATATACTGTAGATGGACAATCTTCCGGAGATTTCATTCTATATCCAGACTCAATATGACGTAATACTTGATTAGCCATCTAGCAAAAAAAAACAATCTCATACAACATAAATAGTTACAAATTCTCTGAAATATATTTTTATTTGTCAATAGATTAATTATCACGAAAAACAAGTTACTTAAATTAAACTACAAAAGTGTAGAGTAAGCGTTACAATCTGAACGACATTACAATACAGTAAGAAGAATCCGTTTTGTAGTTTGTGAGTTACAATTAACATTTCATAATATATGAGATATCTAGTTGTTAGTTAATTAGAATCAACATAAAGCCTGAAACAACTGTGCATTAGTCAATATTAACAAAACACAACGGTTGAATTTAGAAATCAACACCGATGGATGCTGGTTCAGTGATTTAGAGGTTAAGTGTTCACGCGTGAGATCGAAGGTCCCCGGTTCGAATCATGCATGCTGGATCGTGAATGCACACTAATGGGGAGTTCCATACTAGGACGAAACGGTCGTCCCGTGCTTTCAGGTTTTCCACGGTGGTCTAACTTAGATCGACTCATGAATTAAACTGTTAAAATACTACAATACTACAATATTCTGATGTTAGTAAAAGATTTGAAATAATCGTACCATAAATGATAGTAATACTTAGGTAGTATAACGGGACGATTGTTAGAAAAGTTCGGACTGTCTCTTATCTGAAGTTATTTTGCTTATATTCTCGTTGTAGAACCATTAAATACTTAAATTATTGATCTATATTCTCCGGCTTGTAACCTTTTTCGTTCTCCTTAAACTGTTGTTACATGTCATATTGTTAATGTATTATGGACCTACTATTCAGTTATGTCATTATTGTAATTTCCTAATTATGCTGATATGTGGTCAGGATTTTACTCTCTATTATTATATGGGGTTTTAGTCATGATTGCATTGGGTACAATAGAGAATTGATATGTCTTTTACTGTCGTCTTCTGACTGACTATTGTGTTAAAAGGAGCTCGAGAACTAATAAACATTAAAATCTTAGTTGCTGTTCATTGGTCAATCAGTAAATTGGTAAATAGGTTAAAGAATCTGTTGGTAATAAAGATGAACTAATCGACAGTCAAACTAGAAAGAGAAAGAGGTCATACTACTGCTTTCCCAACAATATGGCTCTATCACACAGGACCCAAGAAAACAACCTGTTGTTATTTTGTTCCGGCAAAAAATAAACATGGTGGTGTTAACTAAGAATGCGAATGGCCAAATTCAGAGTCTATGAGAGATTTTCTCAGGTGACAAATAAAGATTTGATAGTCACAGATGACGAAGGTAAAATTCCCCAACCTTGTACACAAGATAACCATCATACGATACAGTCATCACCAATGTTCTGTTTAATGTCCCTCATTTACAACTCAAGCATAGACTCAAACCGATCACGTTTCAATCGGTTATCGGCAGTATTTTAATGGGCGAGACTGTCACTCTCTTCGCAATAATTTTCTGGATTCAGATCATTTTCTCGTGTACACATAACTTACCTTTTGTTTCTGTGGACAATAAATTTATCGTTTTAAAATGGATTCATATAAGCAAAGCTGGTATTCAGCCCATCTAAAAAAATATTACCGACTTTCAATCTTGCACACAACACTTTCCTCGATAACGACTCAAAGTACATATTATGCTTACAAACACCAAAGGTAACACAATAGCGTTCTCCTTGAGAAAAGACGATGCATTATTTTCAATAAAGCCGCAATTATTTGATTGTTCCCTGTTAGGTAAGTACTCAAGTGATAGATTTGAAAATGATTGAATAGTTATCAAAGAACCCATAAATGAATCAATTAATTAAATAACTTACCATTCGTGGATATGGTATACGTCCATAAGAATAAATTTCCCATAATAATATGCCAAAACTCCAAACATCTGATTTTGTTGTAAACAACTTGATGTTTTTTTCAAAGTTAAGAAAAAACAAACCAATAAAAATTAGATTAATTATCAGTATAAGTTTGTGGAAATTACTGAATTTCATTGAATTCATGAACCGATCCAGGTCCTGAGTTCGAGGCCCACGTAAGGGATCATTGGTGCAAACTGCTGAGAAGATCCATTCTAGGATAAAATAGCTATCCAGTGCTTCCAGGTTTCTAATGATGGTTCAGTTTAGATTGGTCGATGACTCCAATGAAATTAGACAACTTAATTTTATCAGTGAAGATATTCAGTTTTTTAGGCTACACGCACACACACATTTAGGAAACACTGCATTCTTTCATTAAACAAATCTAGAGTATGCCAATTTTTATTTTTAAATAAGCTTGAACTGTGCTCCAACTATTAGCCCCCAAATGGTATGGCCGAGAGTGGGGTGGGCCCGCCCTCCCTCTCGGAATGCTCTCACATGGCCACGCATATACAGCCTCTGACAGGGAAGTCGTACTCACTGACTTCTCGTGGCGGAGGTGTTGTTTACGAAAATGAGAGGACGAAAAGCGGATGTCCGGCGCTTTAACCGGATCCCAAACCAATGGTGCACATGGGCTGCAGTATCCTAAAGGAACAAATGACGTATGAACCAATCGTTGGTCACCGGCTACCATGGGACTGCATCTCCTCACGATGCTCTACCGCCTTGTGGTTTAGACCTTTAGGTCAAAGGCTCGGGGTGTGGCCCCCTAAGAGAACCACCTGCTTCCATCTGGGCACCCGGGCAGTATCACAGCCCACACACAAACAAAATGAAAATGACGATATTTACTAAAAATTCTATTCACGCTTCGATTAAGTCAAGCAATTCAAAGTATTATTCTTATTTACCACGTCACTTATTCACTCTCTTTCATTCCCACTCTGTGTATCCTCATTTTTCGACTTATACAGCAGCTCGCCTATGGTGGAAACTCGGTTCTATCTAAACGTTCTCGAGTCACTGACTAGTTGGAAACTGAATGCTACCACCAAATACGAATACTGAAGCAGTTTTTCTGAAACCACGTGCACCATTCAAACTGGCTACCTTCAACGTTCGCACACTTATGCAGGTCGGACAACAGATAGGGCTGGCTATGTCTTTGTAAAGTCTTAATATCGACGTTTGTTATCTATTCGAGACCCGTAATCAAGATTCTGATGAAGTACTAAAAATTCGCTCTCCATATGTCGCTTCAAAAAGCTTGTTTTGCATGCGTTGGCCATCAGTGTCCGTAGGTACGGTATGTACTTTGCACCTTCGAAGTGTAAAGTACTTCTACAAGACTGGCAGGATTCTAATCCTGTACTCACTATGAATAGTGAGCAGATAGAAGTAGTCGAGAAGTAATGGTGGTGGCGTGAGTGATGACATCAATGCACGTATAATGAAAGCCAGAGCGGCTTATGCCAATCTGGGCCATCTTTGGTGCCTTCGTGATGTCAGTCTGGCTGTAAAAGGTTAGATTTACAACGCGTCGGTGAGAGCAGTTCTGCTCTATGCTTGTGAAACCTGACCTCTCCGAGTTGAGGATGTTAGACGACTCTCTGTGTTTGATCATCGCTGTCTCCGAAGGATTGCTGACATCCAGTGGCAACACCATGTTAGTAATGCAGAGGTTCGGCATCGTGCGTTCGGGCGCAGAGACGATAATCCAATTGGTGTCACCATCTTGAAACATCGACTTCGGTGGCTTGGACATGTTCTACGAATGTCGTCCCAGAAAATTCCACGTCGTGCATTATTTGCCGACTCTGGTACTGGTTGGAAAAAGCGGAGAGGTGGTCAGTGCATGACATGGTTTCGGGTATGAAAGAAAGCTGCAAAGAGCTGGCTTGTGTTGGTCCTTCACGACTCCCTGGTTGGGGTCCGAGAGATGGTGCAACACTATGGCTAGAGACGTTATCAGATATGGCTCAGAATAGAAGCCAGTGGTGATCCTGCTGCAAACTTCTTTTACTTTCTTCATAAAAAGTGGTTGCATCTTCCTTAACGGAAAGATTCCTTCCGGTTGTACCTTTCCGTTTCCCCCATTATTATTATTATGACTACACTACCTTACACTAATCTGGTCGTTATTGCTCTTCTTTTTTTCTCTTCCCATTCTTATTGTTTTGTGTGGTGCATATATATTGGGTGCCCCATTGTACCAATATTTATGTGCTCAAATAAATAAATAATAAGTTAGTCCTTACAGTAATTGTATGACTTAAAGCTGAGCACAATTGGATGATCATTGGGTAGTGGATTTTATCGATCAAGCTTTAGTATGACCATAAGTCTAAGTGACTCGATATCGAAAGTGATTAGCGTACCCAATAGTTAGAGATTTTGGATGATATGGTTTAGATTCGTTTGCAATGTTGTAAGTGTATTCACTCATTATCTTCTTATTAGAATCTAAGTCCCGAAATCGATTTATACCTTTTTTCTTTAATTTATTCTTACTACTACTGTCACTGTTACTATGTCTAGTACTCTGGGATTTTTCTTGAAATAATTTTATCTCACTGTGCTAACGTAATATCACAATTTGAACCGATATACAAGTGTCAGATTCTGTGTTGCACACGACTAACTGTATTGCGTTGAAGTTGTAAGGTGATTAGAGGTAGCCAAAAAGAAAACTTGTTTGACCGACGTTTTGTGTCAGTTTGAATACCTCCAGAAGCATCAGTTTCCTTAGCATTAAAGATACGCCTTACTGACCAGTATCAACTAGCCTGGAGCATAGATCATCCGGAATTTCGCTCCAACTACTACTAAACACTTGAATTCAAACAGCTGTTTATCAATAAATCAAAATTTTATTGCCTATCCTGAAAAAGTGAAAAATTCATATCTCATGACAGACTACTACCAATCAACCAGAACAATAAATGTCAACTTTACCAGAAAAAAACTACCTGAAGTACAAAATTAACGTGGAAATATGTTCTTACCCGATCGCGTACAGCTTCTGGAGCTGTCCATTTAAGAGGGATTGCTGCATTATCATGTAATACCATTGGATTTAAAGAGTTATGAGATGAATTATTATTATTATTATTATTATTATTATTATTATTATTATTATTATTATTATTAGCTGCCTCAAAGGATTGATGATGAGTTTCATGATCAGGTTTAGGATATTTCTCAATGGTATCACTTGATGGAGAATTAAGAATAACTAACGTTGGTGCATTATTATTCAATTTTGACGCTTGATTTGATGTAGCACCAGGAACAATTGACAAATCATGTAAATCTCTAGCCATACCGAAATCGGCAACTTTAGCAATTAAATTAGGTATTTGTCCAGATAGTAGAACATTTCTAGCCGCTATATCTCGATGAATAAAATCACGTTCTTCAAGATAAACTAGCCCACGACAAACATCACTGAATAAAAAAAAAACGAGAGGAGTCATCAAACTATAGAATTATTTTTTTTTAGATTTTAGACCACGTAAAATTTCATAAACTCAAATGTAAGTTTGCACAACATCGGCAGCAGTCCCCTAATCCATGTTACCATAGTTACTAGTACTGTAGTGAACAGAACACGGGTGGGGACAATCGAATGTACTTAACATAAAATTACAGAACTTGTTAATAAAATCTAACAATCATAAAATGCTCAATTTGCAAAATGTCCACCGATTGTCTCAAAATGACTCAGACTTCATTGTCCTTGCATTTTCATGCAAATTACATCCTGTTTCGACTTTTTACTGTTCGATCCTCTTGTCTCTCTGCTGCCAGACCTTCTGTTCACGACTAACATCATATACTACTTATGTCAATATAAGTAGCACACACCACAGTACCACCATACGTTTCTGATCAATAATTACCTTATTCATTGTCTAACACATTCATACAAGACGTCTAACTGCTTATCAGAGTAATAATTCCACAAAATTGTTGAAATTTAATTGACATTATAAATATTTTTTTGTGTTAATTTATGTGGAAATGAGACTAACTGTAAGTCTCCTGAGTTATTCCAATGAATAAAAAAATTTTCATGAAAGATTACTGATTATGTGTATCAACATACTCCATCTCTAGTTAACGGCTCGCAACTGCAGCTGTTACCTTGAAGTGATGATTAGGCTCACATATCGAAATGATTCAACCGAACTGTATTGGTTGGATCACTCGTTCATTTGGGATCTATCATGCCGGGTCACATGGTTGGAGAGTAGTACGATTAAGACAACAAACTCATGGTCAGGGCATGAAGTCGTACACCCGATTGCAATGGAGATGTGACAACAGTAACATGTTTCGCTCAAACAACCAACACCTGCAGTGATAATGCTTTCCCACAACGGAGATAAGTGATTAGAAAAGATCGGAACTCTCATGAATTTCTGTTACCTATGATAAGGCTTTAAAAGTACGAGGTTAATTAATCTAAAACTACTGACAAAGAATATTGTGTCTGATCAGTATCGAGTATTTGTCGTTCGGGCATGATGGCCACGCTTCTAAATCATCGAGACCGCACCTAACCCAGTTCTAGCCAAAGCATTGAGGCATATTTCCGTTTTCATTTATTTTATTTTAAACATGTGAATTGAAAATTCTCAACCACTTTGGCATTCTTCAACAAAAACATTGAAAATGATATATCTTCAAATATAACGTACAAGAGAGAAAATTCATCTCTTAATTCGTATATCAATTGAAGATGAATTTTGTTCAGTATTCCAGTTGTATTTAGTTATTTGGTTCTTAATGCCTTTTTTCCTAGTGTAATCATTATTTTGCGATGATTTTGCAGTTAATAAAACTCTGTAATTAACAATCATTGAATTGATGCAAAATATAACTAGATTGGATATAAAACCAATCTTCTTTGATCTTGTGCAATAAATCATTTCAACAAAGATTAGTTTTTCAGAATAGTTGAAGAGGAGACCTAGAAGTGACTACAACTGTTTGAATATGGTATTACAATTGTCGTTACCATTTCTTTGCATATACGGAATCCGTTAAAAAAAGAACTAGGAAGGGAACAAGTAAATCCCCAACTCCTATTTATTATGTCCAGAGATGTTGGTACATGGTTTGGAACCATACCATCAATGTGACGGTTAGTATTAGTATCCCGATTTCACAAACCGATGTAAGTAAATCACGATTCGGACCTGCAACTTAATGGCTGAAATTCGACCGCCATACACACTAAGCTGGTCGTTCCACACACACACACACACACACAACTGGAACCACCAATCATACACAAAACAATGATGTTCATAGATTCAGTCAAAGAAATGAAAACATTTTGATTTGATTTTAAAACAATAACAATTATTATTCCACTGCTAGCCACTATCCATCTTTGCTTACAATGCTTGTAAATTAAGGCAATATCGAGGCATACGCACAGTATGCACATATGCCAATAAGAGACTGATCAATTTCAGTCCAAAAACATCAATGGGAAGATTCAAATAAAAAACAATATCAAGTGAATTAATTATAATTATAACTTACATACTAAATTTCAACTTGGTTAATTCTGTAATTTCATCACGTGTACGAGAGTGTAAATAAGTGAGTAAACTACCATTAGCTAAATATTCTGTAATTAAATATACTGCATCATCTGGTTCATATACTAAACCAATAAATGATACTAAATTAGGATGATTTAATTTTCTATTCCATATGTTGTATTCAATATTGTCATTATTTAAGATATTTTTGATAGAAGAGAAAACGGAAGGGGAAGAAAAGAAAAGAAAAAAACGGAATATCTAAGTTGAAATGATTTCCTTCTTAAATATTCAACAAAATAACTTAATATCAGAAGGGGTTTTTTGGATATTATAGTAATTTTAATAGTGTTAAGATCATGAGACAATTAAAGCTAGAGCACCATGGAAAACCTGAAAGCATTGGACGGCCATTTCATCAGTGATCTAGAGGTTAAGCGTCCGCGTGCGAGACTGACAGGTCCCAGGTTCGAATCTTGCGAGGCAGTATCGCGGATGCGCACTGCTAAGGAGTCCCACAATCAGACGAAACGGCCATCTAGTGCTTTTACATTGTTCATGGTGGTCTAGCTTCGATTGACTCATGATCTCAACCATTAAAATAACTTAATATGTTTAAATTAATCATAAGCGAATTTATGATGAAATGTGAATCTGTCTATTAACCAGTTTATTGACTCCTGTAGAGTAAGGTACACAAATCCTAAGTATTTGCCTTCAACTTGAATTATGAGAACATATTCCAATGGAGTTTTACGAGAAAGTGAGAGAAAACCTATTAGTAATTCTATCCTTGAATAAGGAATCAGTTCTAATCACTTCACTGATCCACTGGTTGATTTTAAGGTTGTTTATATGATTTATCCCAGATTTCTTCATATCCAGCTCCTTAAACCAGAAGCTCTTGTCTATCCATGAAATGAAACCTGAACTGTGTGCACAACAGAAGTACGCCTTATCGACATCCTTACAAAGACCTTAAACCATTATTATTATCATTTTAATTTGTAATGATTTAGATTGTCCGATTGTTGATAATTTGACTAAATTTAGATCAGTCCTAGTAGGAATATGTGTAGATTGCCTCGGTATAGCCATTATAATACAAGTTTATATAGAATAGATCACATTTAGCTAGCAATGGAATTTAAGATGAACGTTTCGTCCTATTTAGCGCTCATCAGCAGGATTCGAACTCAGTACCTTTCAATTTAAACATTAACCGGTTTTATCGATTTCTTAATTTGGAAATATTTCTTCATTATTATTTCACATATCCTTATGATTTTTTTCCATAAGTGTTTCTGATATTATATCGTTACGTTTTATTTCTCTAATATTGTTAATTATGAAAGAGTAAGAACAAACATTCTAGCAGGATAGCATGAATTCATTTTTATTTCGTTGGTTCTCGTCAGCTGCTTACAACCTGTGATTATCACGATTAAAGCATCTTAACGGAATTCGCTAGAATAAAATCACTTCGCTGAATTTCATGTTTTTTTAATGTTTAAATGAGAACTATAAATCTATTGAAATGAAAAGAAAGTAGAATTTCATTGAAATCATGAACTGATCTAAGTTAGGCCACCATTGAAAACTTGGAAGCATTGAATGACTGTTTTGTCCTATTATGGAATTCCTTAACAGTGCACATTCACGATACCACATGCAAAAATCGAACCCAGCCACTCTGCTTATATTATACTATAATACCGATTGGGTACATTTTAGAATGAAAGATAGAACGCATGTTCTATTCACCGGAGTGCAATAACTGTTCTGGACTTCTACCTTTTTAGTCTTGTGTTTTGTCCACTGACTATTTATGAACCGTGTAACAGAGATTATTTATTCTTTTTTTAGTTAGGAGGGTTTCTTTGCATTCTTTGGAAGGATGTTCATTTTCACTGTTGCTTAGTTTTCATGAAAGTCTCTTTATATTGAAGTCGGGCGTTGAAATTGTCACTATTGGAAACCTAGAATCACCGGACGGTTGTTTCATTTGAGTATGAGACTCCTCAACAGTGCGCATACACGACCCCATGTCCAGGAGTGGAACTCAAGACATAACATCTGACGGAAATTGTCCTGATAATACTAAATGACGACAATACCCATAACTATAATTACGTGGAAGAATAGACTTACGTCATAAGTGATGCTTCATAGGTTATAGCCAATTTAGAAGCAGTCTTTTTATAAATTTTCACCGCTACTTGTCGACCATGATAAGTAGCTTTAAGAACTTCTGCAATTGTAACGAAAGAAATGAAAATAAAACTTGTGAACAGACTATTTAAAATAATCCTAAAATGTCACCCCTCAACAGTACACATACAAACACAGATGGATAAAAAGTAAAATTAGAAGAAAATTCAGTTCGCTATCGGCACTGATTAAACCAGTAGTTTCTCGGCTGCTGATTCGATATCGTACCCGAGTAGTTGGCAAATATCAGCTCTAATGGTAAATTAATTCCAAGCCTGATTATTCAACGGATGAAGGATATATATAGGTCCGGATTGATAACAATCTTGAGATAATTGAATTGGTTGAGCCATATGCCAATCTGGGTCATTGTTGGCGCCTTCGTGATGTTAATCTGGTTTTAAAATGTCGGGTCCATAACTCTTCAGTGAGAGAAGTGTCACCCTATGTGTTATAATCTCTTTCTTCTTACGGTTATGACCCAGCTATTCCTATTGCTTAGTATTCTCTGACACCGATTCACTCGACAAGTCCCCAAATCAGAACATGGTTGAACAGGAAAGAGATTATATTCCAAATAACAAGGTTAGATGGAAGTCAGAAGCAAGTCAGAAGCACAATAGGGAAAACGTCAGTATATTTATAGTTTTTACATAAGAAGATTCCAGAGTATTCTTCAACTATCGACTAGTGCTGATTGGATAAGAATTAGCCAATCAGCGTGCGCCAAAGCAATCATGCATTGAGCATGCTTTAATCTAGTCTATGTCCCGCTAACACTATGCTTATTAGATCTTGCCTCTTCGAGTTGCGAATGTTAGGTGAATCTCTGCGTTTGATTATTGTCATCACTAAAGGATTGGTGACATTTAACGCCAACGCCATATTAATAATACAGAGGTTTGGCAACGTTTGTTCGGGTACACTGATAGTAATTCTAGTAGTGTCACCATCTTCAAACACCGACTTCAGTGACCTGGACATGTACAACTAATGTCGTCTCGGGAAATTCCATATCGTGAATAAGCGAATAGGTGGCCAGTTTATGACATACCGCCGGGGTATGAAGGAAAGCTATATATGACTGGTATTTTTCTGTCCTCTATGATTCCCTGGTTGAGGTCCTAGTGATAGTGCAACTCGGAGACTTTAGAAGTTACTAGATATGGCCCAAAATAGAAGCCAAGATAGTGATCCCGTTGCAATTTTTTTTTACTTTCTTCCTAAAAGTAGGAACAGCTTCTTTAACTGAAGAAATTCTTCCTAGTTGTATCTTCATCAACTGAACTGCTTCTCTTACTATTTACTAACTTCATTCATTTTGTTGTTTATTTTGATCCTTTTTTGTACTAATACTTATGTATTTAAATAAATACACAGGGTTGGCAAATAATTCACCCATTATTAATAAACTCCAAACAATGACAAAGACCACTTGCAAGGTAGTATTTCGCAAATGAGCACAACAATGGTGGACCCGATATGATGTACTACTACTACTACTCAACTCGGATAACGATTCGATAATACTCTTTATGGGCAAGTCATAAAACTTACCCAACCAAGTTGAAACGTGTGATTAGATTAATGGATTTAGACACAGAATATACTTACCACCGAATTCTCCACGCCCAATACGATCACTTAATGCAACTTCTTTGCGAAAAATGAGATAACCAAGTTTCTGCAGTTCACTTAATCGTTTTCTTTGCATATCTGGGACTGGATGAAGAAGTGCACAAACTAATCCGCGTTTGGGTTCCGAATAAAACTGATTGGGTGGTGGAATGGGACAAAAGATAAAACGAACAGTTGAACACAGATTGTATGAAATTGTGATGCAACGGCTTAAGGACTCAGATTGAAATTAATTGATGAATTTTATTTGTATTCTCCTATTGTTGACGACAAGATCTATAATTGATCAGTCTCTATTGGTATATTTTTATATTCAGCTGATAACGTGTAGACTTTTCAAATGAAAGGTTAGCTACAACATACGACCAGGTACATATATGCATCAGTCTAAGTCGTCATACTTCATTAGTACAAGATCAACACAAAATTCATAGAAGCAGTTACTTCAATGGTAGTAAAAAAAGCATTTCACATAAGGATATGATATAGGGAGGAAGAATTAGTCTGTAGAAAGGTATAAAGTAATTTAAATCTCACGGTTAAACAAAGACAAAGTGTGTACACACCTACGCCATTGTGCCGACTTCGAGCCATGTCACCTAGAATCTCCAACCATTGGTTACTACAGTCACGCGGACCCCAACCAAGTAGTCTGCATCTACCAACATGGCTTACACCAGAAGTCAATGACTTTATGGACCGATGACACGTTTTGGTTTGGCCACCCTTAACTTTATTCCACCCGTCTCTAAGTTCTACGTTGCAACCGAATGACATATACCAATGTGGTTGAAACTAGCAATCAATGACTTCGTAAATTGACGATACGTTTTCAGCTCCCTGTTCCTAACCTTTTTCCCTACCTACTCCTATGTCAGATACCACTGCTAATGAGGATAGGCGGAGGTTACGCAAGTATAACACATTTGACACTTCCCACTTATCCACATTGTGTAAAAGATACGAAAAAGAAGAAAGTGATTAGCTATAACAGTCTAGTCATCTAGGTAACGTGACCACGCAAACTGAGGAGAAATCGTATGCGACCAATCACGGATCGCCTTTATTTAGTGGTTTTAATTATGCTGCACCCATAATTTTTAAACCTTACAGCCGTAGATTTCCGTGTTATCATATCATACTCAAAAAGACAACTTTTGCTTTATCATAAGGTTATACATATTATTCTTAAGGTTCAAAGAATATCAGGACGTAAGTAATGATCAATGAATAATCCTTTAGATTTCAGGAAATTTGGAAAACAGACTGTTTATAAGCCTGAAATACTTTTTTCTGAATGATTTCAAGTATATACATATAAAATTCTGACGGATGATTTCGGTCTTCAAATCAGTTTGTTATATTTGTCATTTCAATAAACAAACAGACCGCTTCCACTTTGAAGCAAAATGTTTAAGATTTCACAAGAATATAACATCTGACATTTCAAATAATTACGTATATCATGTGCTAGATTCAGTCTGTAATGTATCACACGAACAAGAGATATGAGAAATATGCGATTGTAAAACGAATAAAACCATATTTCTAGTATGGGGGTTGTGGAGATTATTACGTTTTTGATTGAGACCATGAACCGATTGATGTTAGACCACCACCTTTGGAAACCTGGAAGCACTGGACGGCCGTTTCGTCCTACCGTGGGGCTCCTCAGCAGTGCGCATGATCTCAATCAAAAACGTAATAATCTCCACAACCCCCATACTAGTAATCAACATGTGCTCACTAGTGACTAGCTTCGTGAGGGAATTCTCGGAGTTCTAGTGAGAAGCCATGATCAGTAGAGCTAATCCATGTCGGGTAGAGACAGGTATCTACCTCAGTAAAATGGAAGTTGGTCGCGCACTTTCGTGGATTGGTTGATGTTAGACACTATCACCATTGGATGCCGGCTCGGTGGTCCAGTTGGTTAAGCGTTCGCGCGCGAGACCGAAGGCCCTGGGTTCGAATCCCGCGAGCGGGATCGTGGATGCGCACTGCTGAGGAGTCCCACAATAGGACGAAACGGCCGTCCAGTGCTTCCAGGTTTCCAAAGGTGGTGGTCTAACATCAATCGGCTCATGATCTCAATCAAAAACCATATTTCTTAAGGAAATATAAACATTAAAACATTCATTTGATACCACAAATCTGTACGCCCAAACTAACGGGAATAATTACTATTTATGTACTAAAAAAACTTATTTTATGAGACTGAATCACTTAACACTAATGACCATCGTAAAAAAAATCATAGCTGAAGTAATGTTCCATGTACATTGTGTAACACAACTACTAGGTTACACAAAACTATGACCCAAAATAACTCACCTGAACCAGTTCTAAAAGGCTTGGAAACCAATCAGTTTCGTCTAATGTGTAGTGGATTTTGCTGCAAATTGGGGGTGTTGAATATTCGGAATGTTGGTTAGGAGGGGTAGCTTTAAAAGGCCTACGGACTATGCGATAGTGCTGTACATTAGTCGTAGTATTTGGAGGTGTCGCTGTTGCATTTTGCTGTTCAGTAGCATTTGGGCTTCCGACTTCACATGAAGGTCCAACAACACATAATGTTAAACCACCACTGTACAAATCGGATTCACGTATTAGAAAACTTCCGATAGGACTACCAGAAAGTAAACTTTCTGATTCGGCACGAGAAATCCGTCCATGATACCAACTAAACAAAGAAGAAATCGGTGTTTAGCATAATTTACAAAGGATTATACTTAAAATGCCTAACCAACAGACATTAAGTCAGACTAAGTACCAACGTACCTTATTTGAAATTATATCATTTAAGGCCTTCGGTTAGTAGTTTAACTGCCGAACCATAATCCTATCCGGAGAACGTATAGTTTAGTACAAGATTTAAGATGATGGGACTAATGTCGTCTTAAATATATGTCGGGTTCACTAAACCGCGACGTAGGTCATGACACGGAACGTGTAGCATATGTCATCAACTGACATAGTTGATCCATGGTTAAAAATCACTCGAGCCCTCACTTAGATCTAGTGTGTTAGGTATGAAAGAGACCTAATACATTTGGAATTTTTTCTGTGTATCAGAAGACACGATTATAAGTGAGCTTTATCAAACATAATTACTACCTACATACTTTAGTTTGGGGTTTGTATGAAAGAAAAAGTTTATCGTAAATAATTATGCATTTTATCCTTACATTTCAATACAATATATTCACGTGTCTACAGTTTTTTCCACCCTTCATGCGCTACTTCATTCATAGCTACTACAGTACTACTGGAGGAATCTAAGACTTCTGCTATGTTAAATAGGAACAATACTATTATTCATCTCATTTAGGTCGATCAGATAATTGCCAAGTAGAAGAGCACTAATACCTGAGGATTCAGGAAGAGTTTAATTTGCCACCATCAGGAAATTTATAACAAAGTAGGTTAAAAATTAAAGTTGAAGAAAGCTAATGTACACATACCAACTGACGAGGTTCTAGTAAGCGATAGATTGCTGTAGGATCTTACTTTAAATGACATATCTCAAAATTAGTAGAAGTGGAGAAGATGCATCTACCTTTTATTTTCTTATGATATGGAGTTTCAAAACTATTTGTATCCAGCGAATTTACTCTTTTTTCTCAAATTATATGTTTCATAGTCTTTTTGGCATGACTGTTACTACTACGCCTACCAATAATTCACTAATTTTGCCAATTTTATCTTGCTGTGATGTAGTGTAACAATTTAGACGGCGGCCCATTTGCACCGAATCCTTACGTTCTTTATAACTAACTAACTGACTAAGAGTTCTATATGTTTGAGTAGGGTTGAAAGTAATTCGTAACACTATCCAAGAACTCACTCAAGTAAAAGAATCATGAAATCTTTATATAGACATATTCAACTATTATTAATGCTAAATACATCCTATCCCTGAATCAAATAGAAGGCACATTGCTCCTTTTCCTATTGACACGTCTTCAAATCAGACATCAAGGCGATTACAAGTCCTAATGATGAGAGAACTTTGATTTTTACGGTTTTTCGTCGAACGTTGCACAAGAATATTTATCCTTAGCAATGAGCTGAGACTAGTAATTGAAACTAGTCAAAGAATATACTAAACATCTACAAACAAACCAATACTTTAATGGTTTTGAAGGGAAAAACCATCTTAAGATCAGAACTCGTTGTGCCTCTTGACTTTACGTTAATCAGTTTTTCGACCGTGACAAAACTTGAGTGATAAGCTGCGATACTCAATTAGCGGTTATCATGGAAGAAATATCGAAATTAGAAAACTAGCTATCTAGAAAAAATGATGTGACAGTTTCTGCAGAAATATGAGATTGCTAATCTGATAAAACGACTAACGGCTGTAAAAGGTGTCAAGGTTTTCGACGGTGAGAGATCCAGATACATCAATTTTCACATGCTGAAACCGTCTATTAGACAAGTGAAACTGACCTTATGAGAATAATATGTACCAGTGAAACTTTATCTGTTGATAATGTATGCAAGCGCGTGTCCACCTTTCTAATGTCAGTATTCATTTCGGACCATAAAACGCGATTACATCTAAGCCTCATTTTTGCGCATCGACGGATTTAATAGGAAGTAAACGTCAAGAAAGAGGCTTTTCCTGCAACGTTTATGAAAGAATAAATAGTTGTTGCCGGTTAAAACACAAAGCGATAGTGGAATCATAAAATGGAATGAGAATGCTTCTAAGAACCAAGCTAGATTTAATTGCAAACGATCGAATCCAAATCATCTAATTGGAACCTAGACCTGTTGTCAGAGTCAATATCTGTCTGATGTGGGATACCATCTATTTCGTCTCTTGATAGCACAACTGCTACCACACTTCCACTACCTTCGAAGTCCTATGCCTGGAGTAAACTGTGATAATTAGAATATTTAGACTCATAAAGTATTATATGAGTAGCAAGGTAGCTTACAGTCGGTATGAATGGTAAGCTCTCTCTCTCTCTCCTGTGTTCAATTACAAAATGAGTAGCGAGGAACTAACCAAACGCGCAATATCTGATTTGTATCAAATCTAATAGCTTTAAGAAGGATAGCGACGTAATGCCGCTATTTGCGTATTCTTGTAGAACTGCTCTGATTGCAGTTTGGTGCATTAGTATAGAAAATCATGTATGAATGGATGGGAATTGATCTACCTATCCAGTCCGAACAAGGACCAAAAATAATCACACCAACTTCGGACGATACCTAGTAATGAAATTGGAAAACCGAGAGCTTAACCCCAAGATCAGTGCGAGTTTCTGGTAGCTTAGGTCCTAATTTATGGTACCTGTGCAAGAAAATTATACAATTACTACCATTCTGACAGCATTTAGAAATGAGCATAACCCTAAACACTTGTGACAAAAATGCACCATATTTTGGCAACGATAGACAGCCCACTTAATATGGGCGTATCTAACACCATGTACCAACAAAATGAGGAGAATACCACCAAGTTGCAACGACAACATTCATATGAAATTTAGCACTTAAAAAGTACGTTTTCACGACTTCAAGAAACACGAAAATGTCAACGATATACCATATCACTACTCTTAGTTACTAAAAATACAACCATTGGTTAGTTTATTTTAAAACACAGGTAATTTAGTTACCAGTGATCTTTGAGATTTTCTAAAACATCCGCCTTCCGCTGGACGTAGTTGAGAGGAATCAGTCCAGTCTCCCCAAAAGCATTCTTCGCATGGGCCCAATTCGGATCCTTGATAAACAGATCGACACTTTGTACTTTAAAAACTTAAGCTCACTTTGCCAATATTAATGATCTCTAGTGTTTCATTTTTACTAAATGGTAAATCCTCATTTTTGTCTTTCTTGAATGTATAATTGGCTTTCACGACATCCCCAGGCTTGAACCTGCATTCCATCACACGTTCATAGGTCATAATTTATGGGCACATCGTTGAAACCTGCATCTTATTTGTTGTATTCATTGCTTCCAAAAGGAATGCACCGCATAGTTTTGAACGAATGCGGAAAATGTAAATTGAAAATTCAATTAAAAATCTTATTTCAATCAGCTAAATTAAAATAACTGATTCTTTACCATTTTCCTTTTGCTTTGCAACACCTTAATAAAAAATGTAGGATGCGTTTTTTCTGTGATCTAAGTTTTACTGAACTTTAAAATCTAATTTAAAAAGAAAAAAAGGTTTTTTAAATTCCCCTGGAGTTTGAAGAGTCGTGGCACAAATATATCTGACTACCGCGAACTTCACATAAACCTCCGTTTTATTACAAAGTCTCAGCATAACGAGTAGGAGCTTGGTTCTTCTCAGTGGTGTATTCGCAGCTCGAAGTAATGATATAGTTACCGAAGTTAAGAGATTAAACAGAAGCAACAGTTGACAACCTAAAATTACGATAAAAGTACTTGTAAGTGAGTTCGGAGCTATTCTCCCTTGTAATTTATGCATACACCATGTTTCACTTCTCTGACTGATGAAGAATTTTTGTGTTTACCTCAGGCCAACCGACTACATTTGCTCCCCACAGTTGTGTGATAAATGTTTTAACTACATAATCGCGGCTTTTTCTGGTCTTACAGCTTAATCTGGGAAGCAGGTTTGATGAAATCGCTTTAACATGATAAATGACTGGAGGTTAATTTTACTCCATAACCAAACTCTTCGATGAGATGGTCTTCCGAATGTCCGCTAGACATCCATAGTTCTGTTGTAGTTGTTGAGGTCCATCAGAGGCTTCCAACCCACCTTTCGAAAAGGAGTTTCGCAAAATGTTGGCCAAGTATGTTATCAGTAGATACTGTCTCAGATCAGTGACTCATGCACGTTAAGAGTTAAAGCAGTCTGTTTGCTTTGAGTATACATTCTTACCAGAGGGAGATGAACGTTGTCAAAGCATTCACTAGTTTTAAAAAACCTAAAATACCCTCTTTATGTATACTTAACCTTATGGTTGACAATCTAAACCAGACCATGACTACCTTATAAATTTATCCATCTCAGCCGAGTGAAAATGAGCTTGATCGTTGCTCAAACACCTAGATGGAGGTATTTGTGTTACGTATTTAAAGCGTTTATAAGAGTTGCTTTGGCACTATATCTACCTATGGAAAAGTCTTATAGTTTATCGAAATTTGAGGTGACTTCAATAGGGCTTGATGGTGTTCACACTTTATAGACGAAAATTATTTTATCGAAGTAACTTGAATCATTCTAAGTCTGCAATACTCAGATTTAACTGAAGTACTGCTCTAAGTTCAAAGTGCTTATCATGAGCTTGACCTGAGAAGCAGGTCAAGCCCTGTAACGATCGGATAATGTCTGATAACTGTCAGACAGGTAGTATTTGAAGAGCCCCTCGACCAGGAGCCTTGGAAGACATTCATTTGAGAAAACAATATAATTATTCCGAGGGACACCAGAAATTTCGAACTTCAAGGACTCATTTCATAACATCACATAGGGAATGTTTATAAGCATTTCCTGAAACTTAAGCACATTTTGACTCTTAAATAACCCTAGTGATCAAGATAAATATGGAAAGTAAACATTCATCAGTTACAGTCAATTTATCTCCTGTTTAACTATGTACATTACTCATGTTCATCCCGTCTGTGTGACGCCGGATATATGAAGCCAAATACGGATCGCGTTGGCAGAATTTATTTCAAACACTCGTTTATCCAGGCGGACATTCACAATAAGAAGCAGGAAAGCGAATCGAAGCAGAGAAAGAGAGTGAGCCAACTCAATTAGATTAAGCGTGTTTCAATATATAAAGTCAGGTAAAAATAAGCTGCAAACACGTGATGAGCAGGATAGGTGATTCGCACATACACATGTAACAATAGTCAATTCTAATGAACGAATAATCAACAAGGTCAAAATATGGCTCGAAAAGAATGAATAAATCAGCCTGTTCGGATACTAGAATAACTCATATGGGCTTGACATGGTACTAGACACCACAAATTCCCCCGTTAGAAAGAGCACATTACTTTAAAGGTCGTCTGCTTTCGAAAATAAAACTAAAGAGGTGTGGGGCTAACGTTGACAATATTTAGCATAAAATTCGTACTGTATCTGATACAGTAGAGTGTCACGTGAAGGGTGAGTGTATAATATGAAAGTATAATACTGGTGTGAACAAAGTATATGAATACCATAAAGGGAAATGTTGGCATGTGACTGTAGGCATATTAATAAGCGTACTAAAAAACATGCATTTATATCGAGACTGTATGGGCGATAAAGTAACACATTCGTATGAGCAACTAGAAATGCCGCAAAAACAGAGTAACAAATCATTTGTCGTTTACGGGTATTACAGTAAAAGAAATCATGAAAATAAGTAGGACAGAGTATAACAGAAATTTATTTGTGATGCTGACGGAATATATGGACAAAGTACAGTTGAGTATGAATAGGTTCTAACAACTCGCAGTAGAGTAAATAGAGTCAGTGATGATTGGCTTGACATTTACACGCCGAAAAGTTTATGTGGGACGAGAATAATCAAACGTTAAAATGATAACCGATTTGACGGATGATATTCATTCCTGCCTCATAATTGACATTAATCAGAAAGTGTGAAGACAGTGTATCTTGTCCTATGCGTTATAATCAGATGAATCGAATTGTCGATAAATATCTGTCAGTAGAATGATCGAAGGAACATAATCAAGACTGCGGAGATAAGATACACGAATGGGTCGTAATCCTTTTCGTTCGTGGAGTCTAGTGAGGTCTATGTCGTTTCAGGGATACGCACTCGACCCCGCTTGTTACGAAACGATACTAAGGCATGATTTATATACTCAAAGACAACTTGATCCAGTCACCCCTGATTTGTTTCTATCACTATTTAAAATGTGTGTACGGCCCCATCTAGAAGTCCAAGATATTGTTCCTCCTCTCCTCTCTAAGATGAGCAGCAACATTAAATACAGACGGGAAACCGAGTGTGCGATATGGCTAAAACATCAGTTGTACAAGAACAAACTCCAACACCTGAGATTTACAGGAGAATAAGAAATGTTCCGACAATGGAATACAACACAATAAGTACGCCAAACCACCCTAAAACGAGCATATGACCACCAAATCACCAACACTCAGATGATTCTTCTTGAAAGAGCGGAAGCCCAGGTACGCTTGTAGAATTATGGTCTACTACGATATTAGTATTGCTCTAATAGTAGACCTAATCCTATAATTGTAGATTTGTCATGATATAACTACTTTACCCATAAGATCTTACGTGGAAGTCACATCATCGTCTACACCCACTCACTACATTGTAACAACCACCAATACATGATAGAGGACAAACTTAGGCTAGAGGTAAAACAATATATTTAATGTGAATAAAAGATATAAGGTAACATTCAGCAGGGACCACGCTTGCATGGCCGAGCCATCCCATACGATCAACCCCAATTAATTCAATTCCTTGTTCCCGCCATTTCCATCGTTAGGTATCTCCCTGCGTTAAATATTGAATATCTATTTTCCGAGTAGTCTCGTGCTCAGCTTTGAGGATTGTGTGGTTATGATCCAATGCCACTATACGCTCTCATTTTTTTATCACTAAGAGTTGACCTCATTTGCAACTCATTCACAGCTGAAGTGACCAAAGCCCCATTAGCAGTTAGCCGGAAGTAGAGACCATCTCCCTCGTGAACCAACTGTGTCTGGTGCACGTCTCGTAAATTATCACGGTTATCATTACTGCACATCAGTAACTACTTCCTATCTCTCTTATCATCATCTCTCTTGCCCCTCGTATTCTTTCAGCTCGGACTTCCTACAC